TTGCATTGATTATTTTTAAATAATTTTTTGATTTAACCATATCTTTAAATTTCCTATGTCCTTTGGAAAACAAATCCTGACGTCAGTGTGAAAAACTAAAAACCCAGTTTTACTATATTTAGCACATAGCTTCGTGAATATATCGCACGGTGAAATAAATATTTAAAACCCAAAATATGCACATAAAATATTAAATAAAACTTGAAAATATGCAGTTATAAATGATGTTTTTCTTTTGCCATCCATCAAGTTCTATTTCAAAAAGGACATAAGTATTGATTGACATATAACGTGCTTGATTCCAAAACTAGCCCCATGAGCTAGGTAAAATTCTGATGTTTGTATTCACCACGAGAAATATTAAATTTTTGGTTTGATCCGTCAAAATTCCACCTTCCGACTTACATAAGTAATTTCGTTTTTAATAGTTTTTATAAGCCTCTTCTTTTTAATTTCTTGTTATCCTTTCTGGAAATTTGAGATTTTGCAAAAATAAGTTCTTGTAAATTCAATAAAAGATTATAGAAACTGGGAATTGCTTCCTACAACAACTACTTTTTGCGGCGATGCCACCCTTCGCCACGGTTTTACGTTCTAGAAAAGGTTTCTGTTTCCGATGCATGCTATCATGCACTGACCAAAACTCAGGCGAATATTTCGCGTTATGATTATTTCCAGTAATAAAAGTTTTTTCAAACTAATTAAAAATATTGAAAATAAAAATTGTGTATTAAAATATAAGTGCGCACTTTTTCAAAGTAATGACATGTCCTATTTAACATTGTTTACATTATATCTTAAAACTGAATTTTGTAATTCAGTATTTTGAAAAGCAGAATTTTGAGAAGCAGAATTTTGTTAAACAGAGTTTCGTGTTCCGAATTTTGTAGCACCAGAATTTCGATACCAACCCCAACAACAGCTACTGATGCCACCTTTTTCTTATTTGACCATGAGCAAACATTTTGTTAATTGTGCTTCAAAATATTTGTGGAAAATAAAAACTTCATTTCATTATTTTAATTTTTTTATTTATTTTAAAACCAAAAACAGCTCTTCTTCCGGCTCCAAAACGCTTCTAAAAACACCCATACATATGGGTTCAAGAATGCCGAATATCCCTACAATCTGTTCGACGGCATTGAGACAATATCTACTGAGTCCCAGTGGCAGATATGTGGAAATTTTCTCATAGTCTTCTGTTGAAAAAAATTCAGTATCACAGAAGAGATTTTCTTACCTAAAACAAAGCTGTTCCGCATAAACTTTTTGTAGTATATGTAACTGAGAAAGGATTTTAAAAACGGAACTTTTGTTTGCAATGCAGATTGGGATTTCAAAGTTTTGAGTCCTCGAAAAGGCAAGAGTCAACAACTTCTTCTACATCCAATTATAGTAAGTATATCACTAAACTATTGGCGTCTGGTTGTGTGACGCTATAAGTATATAGTAACAGCTTATAAAAAATATGTATGTACATATCGCACACCGTCTTTAAAATAGTCACAACTCAAAATGTGGCATTTTTAAGTTTATGGGCTAAAAATGTACACAGAGCTTGTTATAATTTGTCAAAAAAAACCTAACACAAACAGGTTCTACTACATATTACGATATTTTTGATTTTCTTACATAGTTGTTTGATTTATGTGACTCTTATCAATTCTACGAATTATCGTAGTAATTGTTATTTTTATTGTATTGATAAGGTTAGAAAACTCACACAGCTAGCGCCACTTGAGTATGCGAATAAGCAAAAAAAAAACAAGTATATTTAAAGTGCTTTCACACTACCATCCACCAATACATTCATACCATTGTTGTTGCGAATATTCGCATTCGCATTCGCAACCGCAGACCTTCCGCATTAAGTATAACATTCGCATTCGCAATAATCAATGCGGAGCTTTTGCGAATGTGAATATTGTACAAGTGCACTGATAAAATGTATGTATGTATATCTGGCAAACAAAACGACAAATTGTGGCCAATATTTTTTGCCTGTGGAGATGCTAAGTTTAGAACTGTCCCTGTTCTTTTTGTAATTTAAAGTCAAAGAGTAAGATCCTTCCATAAGTATTTTCAGCGGATATGTTCAACGTCCTGCTATAAAGAGAATCGACTGTTTGCGCGGTGAAAGATAATCTTTAATTAGGTAAGAATTATGGAACTATGGAATATTATTTGTCAAAGATCTGTTGAAAAAAACTGGATGCATCGCTAGTTTTTTCCACTTTTTCTTAGATAAGTGTAGTATTTTTTTTTTCATAAACGGCTTATTATGATTAATTGGTGATTTCGTTTTTCCCAAAAATGTTGCCCTTCCACGGTGCAAAATGTGTTTGATGTTACACTCAACCCAGGCATTTCATAATACTGTCGTTTCAAGCAACCATCTTGCTTTCAGGGCAACCTTCTCCCCTGAAAAAGCTTTTTTGCATTACAAAAGTGTGAAATTTTAAGAAACGAACACAAAATTTTAGAATCGAGCACGAAAAAAGAACCTCTTGCTTTATTATGATGCACTCGTCGAATCATAAGCCCCACATCGATTTTTGCAAAATAAATTTAGTTAGTTGTGACTTTTTTGTATCTCAGCGACAATGTGAATTACGCCCTTTCATACAATATTACCGAAATGTTAAAAATTTGCGTTCATTTTGATTTGATGACTCATGGTACCGACAGCGGTGAGTCATTAATTGTGACTGCCTGCGACTAGGAAAGGTCGAGCTCAGCAAATAAAAAAAAAAAACTAATTACATGCTATTTATTACAGGTGAGCAGCTCTGAGACTTTCATCGTCCGTGATTCCAATAATTCAAATTATAATAAAAAACTGGGTGCCCTTTTAACAAATTTTCGTAGAAAACATTCCTAGAAAATAAACATTTATTTGCCATATCCACCTATTTAGAACCTTGCTATAGCACACATTTTCTAAACCAGTCACAAAACAAAAAGTATTGAAAATGAATTACAAAAAGTAGAGTCGAAAAACGCTGATTACGTTACAGGTTCTCCAAATTCTGAAACAACCAAAAGAATGAGAATGAAGAATTCTTTGGATAACAACGTTGTTTAAACAATGATCTTGCCATGATGCTAGATTGTGTAAATGAAAGTCAGGAGGAGGATACATCCGTCATATGCAGCCCCGATGCAATTCTCAAAAAGGAATTATTGCACCGCAATAAAAAAAAATATATATTTATAACTGAAAGTCCTCTCAACCGGTGCAGCGTCAATCGAAAAGAATGTGCAATTTTGGGAAGTTTCAAGTTTTTCGATTGTTATGACCCTTTAAAAAACAGGCTGTAACCCTAAAAGGCAGCAACATTACTTTTTATAAAATATAATGTTCCAAATTTTTAAATTCAAGTACTAAACCAAAAAATAAAAAACATTCTTAAAAATTACTAACTTTTCAACTTTTTATTTACCTAAATACTTTATTTACTCACCTAAATTATTACTTACAAATTCTTGACATACGCATTCGCATCCGCGGACGTAACATTCGCAACATCCCTAATACATACATACATATGTATACATACGCCTACAATTTATATGGCGCCAGTACAACACAGGTGTTTCCCCAGTTTCGTCAATGCCGGTGCCGTTAAACTGGCTGACGCTTAACGATTACGGCGGAATGCATTTGAATTACATATTTCAATGAAATAATATAAAATGATATAGCAAAGGTAATCAGTCTTTTAGATTTTTTTTAATGAATACGTAATAACAATGCGCGCAATAAATCAAAATGAAGATATGCGGAAGATCATATTTAGATGAATAAACCTACGTACAAACGTGCTTATCTAGGTATTTGGACGCATTTGGGCTGGGTAAAATTAGGTTAATTTGGTGTATCTGATATTTCGACTTTTTTATTACTTTGTCGATATGTACATACATATGTATGAATTCGAAAAATAATTGAAATATGTAGTTTCATCTGCTCACTATGGCTTTTTGCTGTTCCTTAAGTTATTGGCAATTCGACGGAACATTTAATTGATAGCAATACTTTGTCTAATAACGGTCGCTATTCGGTAAGCAAAGGCTAACCTTTTCTCAAAAGCTGAAAATATAATGACACAGAAAAGAAACCGTGTATCAGGCAATTTTTTTTTTCTTACCTCAGTTATTGATGATAATTTTTTTGTTTAATGTGTTACACTAAATTTATAAATCTTAATTTTTGTGCATTTCCCCTTGTATATTAAACAAAAAAACAAGTAATTAATAAGACCAGACTTCAAAACTGACTCAAGAATTAAAAAATCTAGTGAACCCACACCCGCCAAAATTGAATTGCAGTTTTTAAACAGGTTCCTGTCCACACTGAAAATAAAATTTTTGAAAAGTGCTACGAAAAACTTTCGTAGTCTTGGTTTTTGTACAATGTACGAAACTTTCGTTCATAATACGAACACATTTTTCACAACGAAACAAGATTTAACGAACCATTCGTACAATTAACGAAATCTTACGTTTATTTTGCGAATCACATTCGTAAATTACTGAACAAATCTCTGTACGAATAATTTTGTATATTGTACGAATGCATTCGAAATATTTACGTATAGTTTTAAAATTTACGAAATCTACAATTCTGTATTCGTACAATTTACTTAATACTTTCGTACATAGAACAAATGCAGAAACATTTTTTTTTTTAATTCGTACAACAGACGAATATTTTCGTACAATATACTAAATTACCGTCAGTTTAATATTTCATTATATTTTTATGTACTGCGTGTCATTGCGAAACTACTGCTTGGCTACTGTGAGACGTATAATAAAATTTTAAAAGTTTTAAGAAGTTTTTACTGGATAAATGTACAATATAAAATTAAATGTTAAGGCTGTGGATAAATGCTTTTAAGCATATAAAGTTTTTAACATCGCCCACGCTGAGCCTTGTTCTGCAATGTGGGACTTCATAAATAGGCAATTTCATCAGTTAGCTATCAACGGCAAGCCCAAGCCAGGAACAGACGCACTACTTAATGAAATTTTAAGTAAGGGTCTGATTATGCATACTTCGCATAACTTCACATAACCATTTGTACCAGTGCACTAAAAATGTAACTTAAGAAATTGTGAAGCAAAATCTAAACTCAACAGATCGCTAAGTTTTTAAAAGTTCTGCTAATTTATGGGTAATGGAATACATACAAAGTACATACGAAATTACAGTTTGAAATTTATGCGAAGTTGTGCGAAGTTATGCGAAGTATGCTTAATCAGACCATAAGTACATGTATGATTTTTCACTAAAATTTGCCTTTCAGACGCCTTATAATTTTCCTTTAATTTATAGTCGAGAAAGGAAACAAACATCGAAGAAGCTGCTAATCTGCCAAGTACCTCCACATAAAAACATTGCAAAACATTTTGTTAAAGAAAAACGCTTAAAATTAGTAAAGTGTTGTGTTATAATTCGTCTTATGTTTTTTTACAGTGTGTTGAATGAAAGCAATCGGAAGTTCTACGAAACAACCGCAGATTTTAGGAAAATAATTTCGTAAAATATACGAACTATTTTGTGCATTTTACAAAAATTTCGTAAAAAATAAAGAAATAGTACGAAATTATTTAGTAAGTAGTACGAAATCCGTTCGTAAATGGTACGAATACATTCGTAAAATGTACTAAGATCTGATGTCTCATATTTTCGTAGTATGTACGACAACAGTTTTGTACAATCAACGAAAACTTTCGTGACTCAAAATGACGAAAACTTTGGTAAAATGTACGTAAGTTTTCGTTATATTTACGCAGATTTTATTTTCAGTGCAAAAACTAAATAAATATTCCAAATGTTTCATCTAAATCCCTTCAGCCAGAGTGCAGTGACTTAACACATGGTCTCGGTTTTCATTTAATAGAACTTCAAATAATCCTGCACCGTTAATAAAAAGTTCTAAAAACTACAGTGCTTTAAATTGACATCTTATTTTTGAAATTCGGAATAACGGTGCAGACCTGATGACCTTCACCAGGTTGACCGAGCTTTGCTCGGAATGCATACATTTTTTTAACTTTTCCATTGGATAGCTTTAATAAAAAAAAATTTGTTGTGTAATATTGTGAACGGAATTTTTTATTTAACACTACACCTATCCGATACTTCTTCCCATATAAATTATGTCGATAAAAAAAATATTTTCCATGCGTTAAAATTTTAGCAAAATAAAAAAAAACTTTTAAAATATAACGTTAACCAAATATCGTCAATATTTTTACGGAGTCGGTACCCCAGAATTCTTTAAAAACGATATTTTGGAAACAAATTTAAAAAATATTACATTTTGAATGTAATAAGTTTAAAAAATATCTGAGATTAAAAATTAGGTGGCAACCCTATTTAGAAATACGCCAGATTTAAGAGTAAATATTTTTGAGTGGAAATGTACTGTGTGTATATACATACAAACATACTTACGAAAAATGCTCTTTGAAATTTGTAAGATACTAATTGGTAGCAGAAAAGGGGCAACCATCAACAAAAATATTTCAGGATTAAAGTTCCCAAAAATACCTTTCATTTGCTATCCATATTAAGTTATTTTAAACGGTTAAATTCTATGTAATCGAAAATAAGTGGCAACCTTAAACTAATATCTTAAGGGACAACACATACTATATAGGCATAGCATTATTTCGAGAGCTTTCTTTTAGCACCCGTAAAGAGTAATGTTGTATGTTAGGAAATTTTCAAAACACTTTCCATATAATACCCTTATTATTATATTTTACTTAGTTTTTAACTAATCTTAGTGGCAAGCCTACACAAATATTCTCGGAGATAACATCTATCTAAATAACACTAAAATGCAAAATATTATATCAATACAAACTTTCATCACAATCGTTGGAGCCGTTTCAAAAAATGCCTTCTCGAAATGTAAATGTGTGCATACAGTTATAGTTAGATAGATAATTATTTTCGAATTAAACTCTTTTGGTGTACACTCATATTTCAACCCTAGAAAGATAACCTACGTCGCAGAGGCGCCTGCCCGATGAGCATACTTTTGTAAATTTTTAATGAGGGCTCTAGTGATTTGTGTTTAAAAGTGTTTATAATGCCCAAATTTATGATTAGAAAATCGTGCGCTTCTGAAGCGTATTGTTATATTTTACGTTAGTTGTATATGGTTATCTTTCTAGGGTTAATATTGCATTTAACTTGTGTGTAAGTAAAATAAATTACACTTTTCAAACCGGTGGCAACACTCTGCAAAATATTTTCCACTACTAACTTCTTAAACCTATTTTGTCTCGCACATTTATGGTGATACATATTTCGTTTACCTATATCCCTAAGTTCAAACCGAAATAAATACATAATTTTATATTGATTTTTTAACAGGTGGCAACTCTTTTTGAAAAAGTAAAACCTATTTGTTGGAAATCGAACGAGCGGTGCGGATCTAATGGCTTTGATTATTATTGACGTACCACTTTTTCTATAAAAAAAAAAAAAAAATTGTATCTGTTCAATATTGCAACATAAAAAAAAAATTATTTTATTTTGATAATTTAAATTTTTCACTCGATACTTCAATATACACGATATTTATTCAGTACTCGATACTTTTTTCCTATATCAGAAACAGGCCAAAGTATCGAAACAAATGTATTATCGAATGATTACTATGTGTGCTCTAGAAATGTTTTTATATTCATTGGATTGTTATATTTGGTAGCATTTCTGAGAATTTTTCAGTACTAATAAGTTCTTTTTTTGGAAAAACTTGCATATGTTGATCAGATAAGAATAGGCCTATATAAAGATATCGATAAACATACATGCACCATCCATAAAAAGCCTAGGCTATCTTTGCGTGTGTGCAAAGGTGTATCGAACTGGTGGATTGGGTGCAAATTTCAAATTTCCACAAATATATAAGGCCGTGAGAGCAGCAGTGGCCTAACCCACAATTTTATAGTATAGAGATAAACGACATTTTTAATAACACGGTTGCATGTACCTTTTATGGCATGTAGTAGTGGTGGTAGAACAGGTGTTACAAATAATTTTGGCGTTAGAATAATTTCAAATACACCGCCAAAATCTTATGTTATGATCAGTGTTGCCAAATTATATTTTTAAGGCCTGTATGCAGCTCTCAAGAAAAGCAAAAGCTTCATATAAAATGACGTACAAGAAATGCCTAAGAAATTTTCTGGAGTAAAATTTCCTTAAGGCAGTACGCAGTTCTTAAGAAATTTACTACGCTTTCTACTACGGGTTTCTAAAGTTTTTTGTGAAAAAAGAGCACAAGGCAACCCAGGTTTTTGCAACAGAAATATATGCCCGTTCCATTATTTCTTGAGGAAAGAGTGAGGCAACAGGCTGTGAGGTATCAAAAATGTCAAAATTCCTTGGGCACACACGCGAAATAATGGCAATTTTTTCTTGACCGTTTTCTTGAGAGCTGCATACAGGGCTTTAATTGTAATTGCATACGTAAATGCTACTTTTTTGGAAGTACTCGTATATACCATACATTAGAATTAGGGATGTTTATTTTTTAGCTTTTTCCGATCCCGAGATTTTCTGGACGCCGTTATCACAATCCCGGGATCGCGAAATTAGTCCCAAGATCGATAAAATCGATAAAATTGCTTCCATATTGTTTGAGAAGCTCTGCTTCCATAAAATATATAATAAATAAATGGGTTTGAAACTTACTTTTTATTTAAAGTGAATTTGAATTTTTTTTCTCTGACGTCAGGAGTTATTTGAAAGGACAAGGAAAAGGAAATTTAGAAAATAAAAAAATTTAAATTTTTTGGATTCACAAGGACGAATAAGTAATTTTTTATGCTGATAAAGTTAGAAGGATTAAAATCCGAGGAAGTTGTCGAGTTTATATAAGTCCTTAACATATAATTTTTTCAAAAACAAATATTGCGAAATTTCAAGGATAACATTTTAAAAGGACATTTTAATTATTTACCAGTCCTTCTGCACAAAAAACTTGAATCTGTTTAAATTCTACAGGATTTCCTCTTTAATTTGATGCCCATACTTTTTCTCTAAGCACATTTCTCTGAATTTTTTAAATCAATTTTGAATTACTGGTTCCAGAGTGAAAAACTAAAAACGCAATTTTACTATATTTGGCCCATGGTTTAGCGAATATATTGATATTCGAGTTTAAAATTTACTATCGCGCGGTGTTATATGTATAACGAGATAGACATTTATAAAAAAGCATTAATTATTAAATAAAAAAAAAAGAAATATAGCAAATACTGCTCAAGAAAAGGAGTTTCTATTATTGCCATTATGCAAATTACAAATCCTGAAAATCCCGGGATTATATGCCAAGAATCCCGGGATTAACATTCCTAATTAGAATGTATCAGAAAATTAGCATTTACATATGGAAATACAGATCGTGTAAGAGTCCTGTTACCGATTGGCCTGTAATAGCAGTGATGCTATTGGATTAGCTAATTAACTTGAAAAGTTTTTACGAAAAACGGCGATAGTCATTCATTTCCGTATTTCGAGCTAGAATTCAAACTTGAAATCGTAGAGCATCGTCTACAGTGACTTCAAAGGGAAGTCACAGTTGGTAACAGTGAGTGACTAAAGTATTGAGAAGGAGAATTTAGTATAAACTCCTTGAAAAAGTTCTGCGAATAAGTTACAAGATTTGTGAGCATTGTTAGATACCGCTCCACCATATTCCATACTGGTAGGCAAACCGTTCGTTTGGTTTGTCTTTTAGGGCCGGTTGCTCAAAATCTGGTTAAGACTAACTGCAGGCAAAACATTGTTATCGACGTGATGGACTCCGTTACATATAAAATGGAGTCAATAACATCGATAACGTCGATAACGATGTTTAGCCTGTAGTTAGTGCTAACCATAAATTTTTCTTGAGTTTTCCACCTTTTGGAATGTTTTATCTCTTTCTCGAAAGAACCGTGACAAAAAAGTGACATCTTGCGACCATGAAAAATCACCCTCATGCGTCGAAAGAAGTTTTACTTCAAACATCTTTTAAAACTAATTGTAAGTACTCGTACCACACAAGAAGTTCGATTAATTCCGTTGAGACTGCATAGCGATTATTTGACATTAACAAAGCAACAGAATAGTTACGTAGCAAACATATGGACATAGTTATGTATGTATTTATGTACATAACAAACGCAACAGACAAAAACATAGTATAGTTTAACAAAGTAAAATAAAAAATCGACCGTAGAAACAATATGATAATTGCAGAGATAAACCAAAAATGTAAAACGGCAAACAAGGAAATTGGAGCGGCATAGCACTGCGCAGCGCAGCGTTTCCCAACGCAATACTCGGGTAGATAAGATCGCCAAAAGAATGCTGACATGAGCGTCGGCCGACACCGGCAAATATCGGAGCGAAACGCGAAGGCAAACGAGGT